CCTTTGGGACAACCAAGACCTAGATTGGGTGTCGGCAACCCGCGGATCCGGAGCCGCATGCAGCTCTTTGGGCTCTCTGCTGCAGCTCCCTGTCCCATCACTGGCTGGCCCCACCCCTTGCCCTTCCCTCCCAGTCACTCCTTGCCTGGCCTGAGAAGGTAAGGGCAATAGTAGGGGATGGAGAAGCGGCCAGGGCTGATTCTCCTGCGCGTCAGTCTTGCTGGAGCTTCTTCCAGTCCTTGTTGGTGCTGGGCATGCCTTGGTTGCTTGGGGAGACATGCAACCTGCTCTCCGCCCCGAAAAACTGGTCCGACCCAGCCGTGACCAACACCGGCCTCGCTAACATGAGGGCTGGCGGGGTGGGAATGGGATCCAGGAGGGGACAATGGAAAGGGGGATGGCCCCACAGCGGCCAGCCACGACTTTAAGAAGCTCAGGGCAGTGGGAAAAGGGGGCTGACCCCGCCGAACCTTGTAGGCCCACGCCGGGGGTCAGGCTCAGAGAAAGCCGGAGGGCCCTCGCCAAAGATGCTCACCCGTCAGCCGGTCTCCCCCTCTCTCTGTATGTGTGTCTCTCTTTCTATGTCTCTCTCTCTCTCTCTCTCTCTGTGCCTGTTCTCACTCTCTTGGAAAGCCCAGCGAGCTCTCCTTGGGGCTCTTCGCTACTCCTTTTCTTTCTCTCTCTCTCTCTCTCTCACACACACACACAAGAGTGAGAGAGAGAGAGACAGATACACACACACACACACACACACACACACAGAGACAGACAGACACACACACACACAGAGAGAGAGGGGGGAGAGAGAGGGGGGAGAGACATAAAAGAGACACACGTACAAAGAGATACCAGAGAGAGGGGGAGAGAGAGGGGAAGATAGGGACAGGGGAGAGAGGGGAAGATACAGAGAGAGAGGGAGAGAGGAGAGAAAGAGAGAAAGAGAGAAGGGTTTTGTGGTTCCCGGTGTGGTGTTTTTTTAACAACCTGTTCTCTGCCCTAATGACCTGATGGTAGGCGTGGCTAGGGGGGGTCATGTGACTGGGTGGGAGTGAGTGACATGGAGTTGGCCTCGGCCAGGTTTTGTGGCTCCCAATGTTATTTTTTCTGTGGGAAACGGGTCCAAATGGCTCTTTGAGTGTTTAAGATTGCAGACCCCTGACCTAGATGATTGAGAATCTCCACAGATAAGAGCACATTTGATTCCTGAAAACATCTTTCCCTCCCAATGGGATTGAACCTTCAAACTGCTAAACAGAACCTGGTATTGCCACTGGACTGAGAAATTATGTTTTCCTGTACTAGAATATAAGGGGGATTGGGGTGGTGTTGCTCATGGCTGCTTTGTAATATTGAACTTTGTGATGCACCTCAAAGCTTATGGTGCAGTCATGCCCACTAGGAAAGTAATCATAAATTTCTAATTTTTGTCTGAGATTGCTGGAAACAAAGAGGAAGCCAAAAGAATGGTGCAATTGTTCACCATTCAGCCCAAATGTTGCTTTAGAAGCATATCTGTAGCTCAGTGTTGATGTGAGGTCCTTGGTCCTCTCTGAGTTTGGTTGTTTTCTTGCAGATGTTACCTACCCAAACTAGGTAACATCATCAGTGCTAGTCACTAGACTTTACCTGGGTAATGAAATGTCTGCAACAACCAAGCTCAGAGAAAACCAAGGACCTCTCATTGCTTTAGGTGAAAGGCTTTGGGATCCTTTCCCAACCAGATGTATTCCAGATGTATTGGATTTTAATTCCCACAATCCCTGGCTATCATGGCCCCTGGAAGAGAGTTGTATCTAACTATATGTGGGAGATGTTCTCTCCTAAACCAAGCAGATTTTCTATCTTGTCTCATATGTTTTACCTGTACAAGACCAACCACATTTGCCTGCTTTGTTCCGAAAGAATTTCAATGAAGCCTGAGGGCCATTTCATGCTCTTTTACCTGGCAAGCCTTACCTAAGCCTGGTGTCTTTAAAGGTGTCAAGATAAGGAGGGTAGCTCCATTCAATTCTATTCCCTTTGCACCGAAGCTCTATACTTTGACCTGTTGAAAGGTTTAATGTAGCCGTGGGTTTCTGGAAGTGGCCTTTCTCCATCACTCGTGTCATTATGGAGCTGGCCTTTGGGGAAGGCTCTGTGGAGTTTCTTTCTTTTAATTTGGGAGTTCTGGTTTTGACTTTTTTGTTGCTCGGCTTAATCCGGTTCTCTCCAGGTTCCTTCGGACGTTTGCTCTTTGCAGGTTGACCAACAGCTATTATAAAGAGAAGGCAGGATTTATTTATTTATTTATTTTATTATACTTATATGCCGCCCTTCTCCCGAGGGACTCAGGGCAGTTTACAGAAGTTAAGACAATGAAAGCAATAAAAATAACTACATAAGCAATCAATTTAAAATCCATCCAATTAAAAACCACCCACCAGATCAGCAAATTTGTTGGAAAAGCCATGTCTTCAGCTCTCGGCGGAAAGAGCAGAGGTCAGGGGCCGTCCGGAGCTCCGTGGATAACCCATTCCAGAGGGTCGGTGCGCCCACAGAGAACGCCCACATCCTGGTCACCGCCAGCCGACATTGCCTGGTCGATGGTACCCGGAGGAGGGCAGCCCTGTGTGAGCGCACAGGGCGGTGGGAGGCAGGCAGAAGGTGGTCCTGTAGATAGCCCGGGCCCATGCCATGTAGGGCTTTATAGGTAAGTACCAGTACCTGGTACCAGGATGAGGAAAGATAACGCAATACATTATTAATAGGAATGTTTATGTTATTATATTTTCTTATGGGTACACTGAATGGAAGGGGGAAAAAATCTGGTTTAAAATTTGTATGTTTTTATATGGGCCTAAACTGCAAAGAGTTTATTGTTAATCACAATTAAGTCTGCCACATCAGCTAGGACTTTCAAAGACCGGCAATTTTTAATGCTGCATTGATTTAATTAAATGCGCGCATATGAACAATTACCCCTAAGGGATAAATAGGAGAAGTAACAACATAAAAGTGTTTTCTCCCCTTGAATATGAAATTATAGCAAAAATATACCCTCTGAAGACTTAGTAATTAAAAAAGTATTGGATTGCACCAAAATGGACAAATTGACGCTTGAATTGAAAGGATTGATGCGGATTTTTACGTGATATGGGAGAAATGGTACAATTGGATCGAAAATTAAAAAATGGGGAAAAAACATGAAATAGAATGTAGATTTAGTAAAAATGTTCAGAGTATAGGTGAATTGTAGCGTGATGGTATGTAAATGGTCACAGTCATGCACAAGAGGTGAATAAGAATTGTTTAACTGTGGAAACTCAATAAAACATTAAAAAAAAAAGAAATTATAGCAAAAATACTCCACTGAGATTATAGATGTTTGGTTTAGAATTCTATATAATTAAATCTTGTGCATATAAAAACCTGAATAATTAGAATACTTTTACTTTAGTAGGAACCACTTATCAATTCCCAAGATCCCAGGAGAGGTCAGATTTTCCGAGATCCGTTATTTTAACTCTTAGGATCCGTGTTTTTCATGCCTTGAATAACAGGCTTCTTTTCTTTCAATTCCTTTTCCTTCCCTATCACTTTTTCCCCCTTTTTGTTGTTACCTGAGGAGAGGGGCTCTCTTGCTTGAGTTACATTTGTAAGCGGCAGACTTTCCCGGCTGTATTGAGGGGCTTTAAAACGATCCAGAAACACCGCCATGGATGAGAGTTTTAAAGCGAGAGGTACGGCACCGCCGCACAGTCTGTTTTCAACTACATCAATGAAAAGTTTCCAAGTCCTTAAATTCTTTAATGGGGCGGAGGTTGCAGTCATCCGGCTCCATTACTTAGAGGCGCTCCCGTGCGCGGAGCAAACCCTTCCGAAAGGATTTGGGGTCCCCTCAAGGGGGTGTGTGGCCCAGAGAACCACGGGGCGCCCTTTGCTCTCTTTGCACCGTCACCGTCTCTCCCCATCCCACCCCCGTCCGGTTTTTAAAAAATAAATAAATTCTGAAGCGTGAGGAAAGAAGGGGGCGACAGATTTTTTTTTTTTTTTAGGCATTGCCGCCCGCAGGAAAGGAAGAGCCGGAGCTGCGGATCGGAGGAGGAGAGCGAGACTTACCGCTCTGGAGCGTCTGCTGCAGGAGCAGAAGGCTGAGCAAGAGCCAGGGCTTCATGGCAGGAGCGGGGGTGGGGGAGCCTCTTCGCCGCCTGCCACGAGGGATGAAGCCGGAGCCCGCGCCTGATCCGGGACTGGGCTACAGCGGAGAGGGGGAGCAGGGAGGGGGAACAGCTCCTTCCTTTCCCGCCCCCAAGCCCCCCCCCCCCCTTGACTGTCTGGCAGGTCTCCCAGGACGGGTTGAGCCTCTCTCCGACCCAGCAAGAATATTAGGGGCGCCCCCATTTCCATGGGGGTGAGGAGCACCGAGGGAAAAGCGGGCGGGCAGGCAAGGGAGACGACCCCGGAAAGCTGAGACCGCGCTTCAAGCCTTCCAATTCCTAAGCATTGTTTAAGAAATTGCGTTAGATAAATATATATATATATATAGAGAGAGAGAGAGAGAATTGTTTACTATTGTAACGATAAACTACGTAGATTTTTGTTGGAATTTTTAACTTAATTTGAAGCAGATAGATGTTTTTGACAGTGTACGTATCTTTTGTGTTTTGTTCCTTTTCACTATTTTGTTATTTTAAAAGCAATAAAAATTGGTATTAAAAAAATTCAGATAGGGAGCAAGATGGATGGATGGATGGATGGATGAATGGATCATTTGCAGTAATACTTTAATTATGGAATATAATTATGGAGTATAAAACAGTAGCAGCTTTGAAACTATGTGCTTCCAGGAGTCTTGTTTATTTGCAGGGTGGCAAACTATTTTAAAATGACAATCATGAACTTATTGAACATTGTTTAAGTTCCTGCACATTTGTTTTACGCTATTTGAACATGATGTTTTTTTCTCAATTGCTGCTTTGTAACTTTTTTCCCCAAACCCAAATAAGGACAACAAAGTGATCTATGCACATTTTTTCAGTTTTATTTTAAAAAATAGAGAACAAATGCACAGCTCTCTTCAAAGCAGTATTTTACAGTGAACAATAGCAAGAACATTTTCTTATCATTTATTGTTTTAACAGTGAAAAAAACCAAAGCACCAATTTACCTTTTTTTTCTATTTCACATGTTGCAAGTGTTTATACATTACTAAAAGTGGATTTTTTTCCTTTAGTTGTTTACACAATATCGTGCCAGACTTTTACAAAAAGATTCTCCCCTTTAATAAACAACAAACATATACACAGTAATAATGATTACAGTCATCTATCTACTTATATACACATAGGCAGTGATATAGCTAACTTTGCATAAAATGTGACCTGTCATGAGATTTATTCTAGTTTCCTAGATTTCCCACTCAAGTTTTAGTTTTATGGGAGGTTGACAGGAAGAGAAAGGAAAAAAAGTACATATTTCACTAAAAGTCACCCTACCCAAGGCCCATTATAGTGAATTTTTCTCCAAACTACATTTCAATACCTTTTGCTTTATGGTAAAATTTCTACATTGAAAACCCCCTATATAGGAGTACATGTATAAAATACTGTTTCTAGAGAACAAATTTAAAAATCAATATACAATATACAAAACGGTGTTCTACCCTGTTTCCCCCCAAATAAGACATCCCCTGATAATAAGCCCAATTGGGCTTTTGAGCGCATGGCAATAAGGCCAAGCGCTTATTTCAGGGTTCAAAAAAATATAAAACAGGGTCTTGTTTTCGGGGACAAGGTATAATTCAGATCTTTCTAAAAATGTTTGGACCTTCTGAAAGAATGGCTTGTAACGGGGGTAAAGATTCAGCCAACACAAGCCTATACAGCAAATACAAGTAGTCCTTGACTTACGACTACAATGGAGCCCAAAATTTCCATTGCTAAACAAGACATTTAAGTGAGTTTTCACTTATTTTACTATTTTTCTTACCACAGTTGTTAAGTCAGTCACTGAAGTTGTTAAGTTAGAACACAGTTAAGTGAAGTTGGCTTCCTCATTGACTTTACTTTGTCAAGTCGCAAAAGGTGATCACATGATCCCACGACACTGAGACCATCATAAATTTATCTCAGATGCCAAGTGTCCAAATTCTAATCATGTGAACATGGGGATGCTCTAACAATCATAAATGTGAAAAACAGTCATAAGTCACTTTTTTCAGTGCTGTTGTAACTTTGAATAGTCACTAAATAATTAGTTGTAAGTCGAGGACTACCCATATACTCTTTTTCATTCAATGCTATATTACACACGACAAAAGTTATGAAAAATTATGACATCCTCAGATTTTTATGTCTGTGCATGTATTTTACTTAGGCTCCCTTAACCTCAAAATAAAGTGATCTCATCCAACTGTAAGTGATCACATCCAACCAGACGTGTTTTAAAAGTGACTGCAGGAAAAATACAATTACATTTTTATTTATTAAAAACAGAGCATTATTACCATTGACTAGCTCAGCCCTAAGTACATGAAAGCTATTTACTGAACTGCACATTGATTCAGGAGTAAATACCTTCAATTTTAATGGGGCTTTTTCTCAGGGTAGCGTAACAAAGTCTATTGGCAATACTACTGGGTAACACTAAGTGTATGTGCATTTAGGGATTACTCCCAAATGTACTTGACTATGGGCCTAAAGATCTTTGTCTTAGAATCACCCAGCTTTTACCAATCGTAAATCCACCCAAAATAACCCAAATCTATCAAAAGAAGTTCAAGAACTGTATGACTGTTTTGATCTAAGATGATTGTATGTAAGTCTTAGGTTTAACATTTTCTGTGGAGTTCTTGGTATTCTCTGAGCTTGGCTGTTTGCTTGCAGACATATTTATTACCCAACTAGGTAACATCACTAGAGCAAGTGGGGTTTATTGTCTATATATAAAGTAGCTTTCCCTGAGACTTTTGGTGGGAGTGCGGTTTTCTTCTTCGTAGTAACTTGATTAGGGTATTGTTTTCTGTCTGATTGTCTGGGATTAATCCCTGCTTATCTGAATGTTACCAAATGGACAGAATGCGTCTTTTTGTTTCCTTCCTAGCAGTGGTGGGTTTCAAAATTTTTTACCACTGGTTCTGTGGGTGTGGCTCGGTGGGCATGGCATGGCTTGGTGGGTGTGGCAGGGGAAGGATATTGTAAAATCTCCATTCCGATCCCACTCCAGGGGAAGGTTACTGCAAAATCCCCATTTCCTCCTGATCAGCTGGGACTTGGGAGGCAGAGAATAGATAGGGGCGGGGCCAGTCAAAATTTCCGCTACCGGTTCTCCAGAACTAGTCAGAACATGCTGAAACCCACCTCTGCTTCCTAGGTTTTTTTAAAGGGTTCCTTGGAATGGTGTGTAAATATGGTTTATGCGTGCATTGATGTCTGAATGCCAAGTGTCCTGGCATTCCCTAACATTTTTCAATTTGGGTTAACATTTTCAGTTTGCTTGGCAGAGAGGCATTTACCCGCAAGAAAAAAAAACAATGGCACATGAAAAGTAATGATGAATATCTAGAATCAACTATTATCTAAGATTTGATAATAATTCTTTACTTCTAAAGCACTTTGCTTAATTTCAATGTGGCCTTTTGCAGAAAAATATTAAAATATAAATATACAAATTTAATTAGAAATATTTCTTTTCTCATTTAGAAGAATTTTGTCTAAGAAAAAGCACTTTCATTATCAGTTGTGGGCTCAGTACAAAATATGTAATTTTGAACATTCCATCTGAAGGTTTTTCTAAATTTTGTTCTGTCTCACAGCTTGCATAAATAATCTACAACATACATATTTCTATTAAAATTAAACAAGCTAAAGACATATTTATTATGAAAAGATATCTTAAAAACAGTTTAAAATAACTTTAGATAACTACTTTGAAAAGCTACTATAGATGTAAAAATAACTTCTTCATTATTCTTTCATTTCCTATACTAAAAGATCATCCATCTAATTTTATAACAATTTGGGAATTGGATGAGGAGAACTATTCTGTATACTCTAAATAATGATCATAATTTACATAAAATTTCAGTCACAAGGTTGTTTTTCCACAAATAGTTCCTAAAAATTTTAAAATCTAGTTCTCTATTTTATCGACTTTCCTTCAGAAAGTTATTTCCCTAAATTTCATTTAAAGAAAAAGCCCATGTATGTTTGCCTGTTTTATAAGTAATAACACAAGTAATACCTCCAGATGTATAGTTCTTTTGCACATAATTTCAATATTCACATGTGTATCTGAGATGACCAAATGGTGACACAGTTGTTTCTTCAAGTGCCTTCCCATTGCATGTCTTTTTGTAAATGATTTATATCCAATTATATAAACTTGAGCATAGAAAGCTAAATGAAGTTTGTATGCTTACATTTTTTAAAAAATAATTGTGCTCCCACATCTGCTATTCATACTAAAGTCTGCAATGACGTATTAGTTTCACAAGTTATACATAAATAAGCAGGCTGAAGTAGGAAAAAATAGTGCAAATGTAAGTACAGTATATTAAAGCAACACATAATTATATATGGATTTTTAAATTATTCATTACCTTTGTTAACATTTTATTGATTGTTTAAGGAAAATGAACCTGAAAATTAAAAACGAATCCTTACATGGTCAAACAAAGATGGAAACAAACCCTCTTGGACTCAAGAAAAAAAAATTCTTTGGGACTTGCTGACTTATACATGATGCTTCTTAAAGTAGATTCAGTGCCTTGACTTATCCCAAATGGTATGCTGGGAACTAACTATATAACCATTTTATATAGTGTCAACCGATAATCTTACCCAAAAGGTAAAGCCAGCAATGGGTACCAGCACATTATCTCAAAGTTTAAGAAAGACCTATCACACTTAAACATTAGTTTTGCTAAAACATTTGAGCTATGTTTTTCATTTTTCCCCTCCTCTCTGCAATATATACATACATACGGTACCTCTATTTCATAAACAGAGGGAACATCACAAAAATAAAAAATTATTCATGAGTTATTTAATAAATATTTTATCACCTCTGATGACAAAAGAATTTGAAGAGAATTGCTTCCTAGAGAGGAAGAAGAATTTAATGGCTATGTTTGGGTATTGTGGAGAAACCACAATTTATGGTGAGGAGAACAAGCGGTAGTAGGTCCAAAGCTTGCTCTGCTTGATCCTCACTCCTGAAGTAACGGGAGAGGACAGTCCTTCATATCTAATCTAACATCATGTTTCACTTTTGTTCCTATTAACTGAGGATTATTTAAATTATTTTATATATCATAGTTTGAAATTGACATTTTAAATTAATTAAAAATAATCACCACCTGACAAGGATGTGATGAAATGTGCAAACAGCAGTCAATGACCTAAATGAAACATTCCAAATTCTTTGTAACTGGAGTAAGACAGAAGAACATGCAAGTTCAACACTTATTCTACTCACCACCATCCCCAAATCGGCCAGGTTTGAATAAAGTTTCCCCCCCCCCCTATATTTAATTGAATAATTTATCAAGTTAAACATAGGTGCACAGTTCTGCAGCCGTCTCTGGCAGTGCTGACGTGCTTAGGACATCCATATATTAAGGAAGTCAACAGATACATCAGCATTTTGTAAACTTCAGTTCCACAGAAGTGCCATTTTGCTAGTGCTTCATCATTTGTTTAAATTAATCATTCATCCATGTTCTTCATTTTCATTGGCAAGGATGAAGAATTGGGAAATAAAACTGATACAAACAGAATTTCAATCTAGATTTTCTATCAAATATATCCATTTCAACTATTCTTAATTTTTTTTTAGAAGAATTGTCATAATTTATACTGCTTGTGGATAACAGCAAAGCAGAAGTTAGGTCAGATAACTGTGGTTTTCCCCCCAGCAATTTCTATGAATCTGGGATCTTTCCCCACTGTTGAATTGAGGTCATCTCCACTCATCCTTAAATCAGTTCAATATTGTATTGTATTATATTTTCTATTCTTCTTGCCAGCCTCATCCTGTCACGACTGCTGTGTTCCCAGTCAGTGACCATTACCTCATTCTGCACGACAAAGTATAACAGTTATACATCTGAGGCTACTTCTGATATAATGGACGGCTAAGGATAGCCTCAACCTCTCACTCACAGGAGCAATGTGAAGCAACGACACAGAAGAAGACACCACAAAAGGTGGCTGGCTGAGAAACAAGGTATGGAAAGGTACAGAGTGATGGAACTCAAGTAGTTGTGTGATTATTTGGCAATGCTACCCTATTTTTAAAAGCAGTTAAGAATGCATCTCCAGTATTATAAACCATAATATTCAACTCTTCTTCTTTAGATATTCCTTAATAATTAGTTATATAGTACATGCCAGTTAAAGTTGTAAGATACTGTTAAGGAAATCACCAACTTCTTTAACATGACAAATGAGTCAGATTGGCCCCCTTGGGAAATTTATTTCCCTCCACTTTCTTGCTCAGTTTTTTTAAAGATTGCAACCCTCTGAGGCAAGTCTCTGATGGAAGAGATATCTAGCAACTAATTTAGATCATCTTTCATGTATTCTACTAGATATTTCCATAAAGCACAAGTGGGTTACTGCTAATTTGGGGGGAGCAAGTAGTTCACCATTTCACCAAGCAACTCCATTCTGCTGCCATCACTGCCTAAAAGCGCACACAACAGGTTTATCAATGACCACTAACATTCACTTGTCTTTTCATGTGGAATAAACTGAGCACTTTCACTTGCATGTTCAAGTCCACCTGTATCTCCCATATGCTTCTTTTCTAAAGTTTCGCTTCTTTCTGAGCAGCTGTCATCATCTTCCTCTTCCTCTTTGGGACACCTTTCCATACTATGCCGGATGCCATATGCAAAGTAAATCAGGAGTCCTTTCAAAACAAAACAACCAATAATTTTTGTAGACTTGCCATATGTCAGTAAAATTTCTACAACTCTACTGAAGATTACAATTTGATTTTTGACCTTCTCTAAGTGTGATATACAGATTCTTTCCCACAAATCAAGACAACATTTAAATATTATTTTAATGATAGTTGAGTCCCCATATACTGTTGAATGGTAATTCTTACTGTCTCATTATATGATATATAAGAGAAAACTGTTACAAAACAAATTTTATTAACAAAATTTAATAACTGGACGCAAAGAATTTTTGTATTAATGCAGAAAAAAAAACAACGTACACTTATCACACACACATAATAGATCAAAAAAGAAAGCGCAGACTATGCCGTGATTGGTTTCCTTAACTTGTTGCAAATGATTGTCAATGTCAGTCCTAGAAAATTTCCTCTCCCAACAAGACAACTGGGCAAATATTTATGCATAGGCATACACATGGACATACCCAGAAGCCACTTTACAAAAAAGAGGGCAAGGGGATACCTACCGAGTGCCATCCAGATGCTGAACCGTATCCATGTCTCTCCACTCAACTGTACCATCAAGTATATATTCACTAAGATACTTAAAGATGGCAAGAATGGCAAGAACGGAACCTAAGAATAAATATTTCACAGTATTTGCTAAAATACCCAAAGCCAACACTTTAATACTTTATATTAAAATTTGTAAAATTTAATGAAATGTTACTGTGTTTCCCCGCAAATAAGACCCTGTCTTATATTTTTTTGAACCCTGAAATAAGCGCTTCGCCTTATTGCTATGCACTCAAAAGTCCGATTGGGCTTATTATCAGGGGATTTCTTATTTTGGGGAGTTAAAACAGGGTAGTTTCAAAATCTATGGAATCGAAGCACACCTATGTCAATATAACACAACAACTAGATATGAACCATGTTCTTCTCCATAGAACTTGCCTATGATCCCAATCTAATTTACACTTCAAGTAGAGGAGTGAAATAATTGCCTAAATATTTAACTTGAAATAGCAAAGGAAACACTCATAGATGGAACAAATGCTAGTGAACAAGGCCCTTCACAGGAACCAGGGTGTTTCAGGATTCATAAATCACTTCTGAATGTCAGGAGACCTTTCACAGTAGCATCAAAGACATGCTACCGGAGTCAGGCTTATATAGAGATTTCAGAAATACTTTCTATTTATAGAAAGATACTACCCATGGTAGAAAACTCATGAGTTGGCAGCTTACATGTTTAGAGAAAGTTGCTCTAGGTGGAGTAACAGTCTGAGATGCATATTGCCAACTTATATTTTATACTATAATGTGTATTTTGAGTTAGAGGCTCTACTTTGGAAAAGCTTAAATTTCAACTAATGTACTTCAATAAACCAAACAATCCCTGTATGCCTTTACTTCCTCGTGTCCTGAAACCAACCTCCCTGTTTAGGTGCAGGACTTTATCCTTCTCTCTATCCTATTCCCTCCTGGCCACTGCTTAAGCCTATCTAGATCTTTTTGAGAGAAGGAGAGAAGGCTACTCGGGCATGATTCCTTTGCTACAAATCAACATTGGTTCTGTTAATTGCAGCATCCTATCCAAGTGCTTAGAAACATGCTGCTTGACCATCTGTTGTGCCCAAGATAATTTATCTCTAGTTGCTCAGATGCACCTCTGGCTCTTTTTTGGAACTACCAGAGTTGCCAAAAATAAATTGTTATGACATTTGTTAACATTTATGTATTGATTTTCACCAGAAGTGATCACACCACATTTCATGCAACTTTCCCCAAATAAATATAGCAGAGCTAGCCACATTCTTCCTCCTCCTTGCTAAAAAAATGAAAAATTGCTATCTACAAACAGACCCTTTACCATAAATGTTACTTTGTGTTGATTTTGAGGTTGCCTCCAGATGATAAACATAATAATCCCGAACAGTATGAAAAGAGACACAAGAAGAAAAATACTCCAAAGCTCCATATTTGCAAGTGAATGAATTCCATAGGTTGTCAGAATGCTTAATCCACAAATCAGGATAGCTGAGTGGAGATGATCAAAGAAAACAGAAAAAAGACAGACTATTTTAGAATTTCAAAAATCTGAAAATTTGTGATATATACAAAAAGTAGAGGTTAATGTCTTTTAAAAAGGAGAACCATGGATTTATATATGCAGAACACACAAGTCCTCACTTCCTTGGACTTGAATCAAAGGACTAATATACTACAAAACATACGAATTTGATCTTCAAAACTGCATTTTGCATATAGCTAAAATTTCAAAGAAGTTAAAAGCATTCCAATAGGTTTGGACTTACCCAAAAGACCCACAAGAAGGCTCACCACAGTAGCAGACTGTTCAGTTGGTAAACTTGATGGATTAGTCAGCATTTGCAGATTAAACCTCTTTGTTGGTATCATGCTAATTTGAGATTCACTTTTATATTCGCCTTCTGATCCTGCAAGGGCCTCTTTTTCTGCTGGATATTTTGGTTGCTCGTAGTTTAAATTGGGTTGGTACCTGTGTGTGCAGACACGGGTTGCTAATGTAAAATCAGTCTAAAAACAAAATTAGCTCTAGAATACATGCTACTCAGCACTGATTTAGTTACAGTATTTTAATTGATTAGGCATCAGCCTAATTTTCAAGGAGTAAGGACCACTGTGCAATATTCTGGACAATCTCAAATTACATTTAAAATAATGTAATTTATTTTTTTAATATAATAATTTGAAATGGTATCATTTTATGAAATCTCATATAAGAGCATAAAGTTTTGGAACAATTTGACCAGGAGTTGCCACTTACAGATTTATTTATTTTTTTATTTGATTTATATGCCGCCCTTCTCCAGAGACTCAGGGCGGCTTACAATGTATTAAGCAATAGCCTTCATACTTTTGTATATTTTATACAAAGTCAGCTTATTGCCCCCACAACTGGGTCCTCATTTTACCTACCTTAGAAAGGATGGAAGGCTGAGTCAACCTTGAGCCTGGTGAGATTTGAACTTGCAGTAATTGCAGGCAGCTGATGTTAATAACAGTGCTTTAGTCTGCTGCGCTACCATTTGAGAGGCAGCATGACACCTCAGTGTCACTAGATTGTCAACACACTAATTAGATAATACAACCATTGCCTTAACTATGCAGATCTTCCCCAGGGTTGAATCTTCACTAATACATAGTTTTGTTCATTTTAAAATCTGCAGAAATATAGGAACCACACATGGTCTGAAATTTTATGATGACCTCATGCACAAGGCCAGCATTTAAATATATTGTCTTCTGTAACTGAGGCAGAAGCAAAACCGTTTACACAAAAATTATTTTACAGAAAAATTACTTTTGCAAATTGCTTATAAACTCAATTTCAGAACTCACCTAAGTATGAGAACACAAGCAGCTACCAATGAGTATGCAAGAAGTGTACCAATAGACATCATGTCTACTAAGGCTTTTAGGTCAAAGAGAAAAGCCATTAGAGCTAGAAGAACGGGAAAAACAGCATTTGCATTAAGTATCTACATATTAAGCAAAGCATATATATTTCTTATCATCATATATTTAAGCATTTAATATTTGTTTACTGAGTTTATGAACTGTTTGCAGTTTCTGACATTATAATCATATTAATTTTGAATAGGATAGATCATTGCTATATGACCATTAAAGTTTGTTCATTATAGCAATCTTTTATAATCTGTTTGAGATAAATAATTCATTCATGGAAACTTTTGTTAAGTTAAAATTATTCTCAAAACATTTACAATGTTTGGGTTTTAAAATGGACAATGCAAAAAAACAACAACCTTATTTGTGAAAGTCACAGTAATTTTAAAAAGCATGCAGATGTTTCAGGCAAACTTTATTGTGAATTATCCATCTGAGCAATTAAGTAATATTTTGGATCAAATTGTATTTATTTTGATAGAGTACAGATAGATACGAAGTATTCTGATAACTATGGTCATGGTTAATCTGTTTCTTGCAGAAAGCTCATGCAAAGAATTTTGAACTCTCAGGCATCCACAAAAACTATCTCTCTTTAAACAGTGTTAAATCAAATAAAATGTATTGGATTGCTTTACTAAAGACATGGTAGACAGACTGTTAAGAGGAAAGAAAATTAGTCACATTGTCTTCTGCAGGTACAATATAAACAAGAACTAGATTTTCAAGGAGTGATTTCTGTTCGTAAAATTTCTTGTTATTTTGTTGATTAAAAGAAACATGATACTATTATAGCCATCAATCCCACTTCAAACAGTCTCTATTACCCCTAAGTGGCAAAAGAAAGAAATTGGGAAGAAATATAAAACAATTTGCAAGTGGAATTAGAGAATGCACAAATCGGTAAAATAAAGAAAATGTTCTTTATAGTTATATTATATTATTACTTCCTGACCTTTTTGTTTGTTTGTTTTTTTGTTACTAATGAGCAGATCATACATATTGTGGGAGTAAAAATAATCAGCATTTTTTCAGCTGGCTAAATAATCTGAACTGGCAATTTTTATGAAAAATTCAACACGTAAAAACTTAACACTGTTTAAAACAGAGACTTAAAACATGCTGAGATTGCAACTGTGCCAGATGGAGAGGGGATCAGGCACAGCTTTCATGCCACTTTCCTTTAGCAAAATATGCTGCTTAGGATGGCTTAAGAGGAGATGCGGAGACTTGTTGTAGAAAAGTGTATATGGAAATTGTACAAAAAGCACAATGGGGACATTGAAAAAAAAAGTAAACTATCAAGATAACTAACTTACTCTTTATTTCACACACACACCAGGCAATATCATTGTTCACACTGAAGGAAAGCTTTGGAGAAGAATTGTAAGGAGCTCATTCTTCCACCACCACCATAATCACAATTGAAATGAAATATGCCTTCTGATTAGTCAGCACTCTGTTCCCAATTTACATGCACGAACCATTAGCAAGCAAGGCCCATCATATCACAGAGCTATGCATGGGAAAACAGGTCTCAGTTAAGAAACCTCAATATACAGAGCTTACCGGATATGAGCCCTGCTGTCATTGTGGCAGCAACTGGAGACTGCCTCTTGCTCACTTTGGCAAGAAATCTAAAGAGTAAACCATCTCGTGCCATGGCAAACAGAATGCGAGGCAAAGGGAACATAGAGCCCAGAAGACTAGAACAAAAAATGTAATTGTTCAAGTGCTGCAGTAACAACAGTACATGCCAAAGCTAACCCAACATATAGACATAGATAGAAATGGGTGTACTTTCTCGGTCAAACCTTAGTTTTCCAACCGACAATGTTTGCGACAGACAAAATAATATTTTTACTCAGAGAATCATAATTTAGAGCTTGAGTTGCAATAGAATACAATGATAACTTTCCATGTATCACTCTGAAGGTTGTCTGTGGCTGAAGGCATCCATTGCCTTACAATACATTCACTTAGGACCTCACCTGCGACAGCCCCTGATGATAAAGTTGCAACAAGTGGAGTCTTCGTTTTGGGGTTGATTTGAGCTAGACATGTGAAAAGCAAGCCATCCGATGCCATAGCATAGATTACACGAGGCATGGGGAAAATGGATCCAAGGAGACTGAATAAAAAGCAAAAGAACATGCAACATGGCCAACACCAAGTCATGCAATTTATTATAGAAAAGCAACACAATACTAATACAGGAAGTGATTCTGGAATATGGGACTTTGGCAAGGAGGTGATATGATATATGGTGATAACTACAGTTAAGATACAAGTTTCCTGAATCCGTTGGTTTTTAAATGGTACAAAAATAACATATTAATATGCAGACTTTTTTGGAAGGACTTATAGTGTGGTTCCAACATCTGATATAGATCATTCATTTTCATGAATTGAATATTAATTCATTCCAATATCATTCATCATACAGATTATATAATGTAGATCATAACCAATTGTCCTCAATCTCTGGAGTAGTGCAATAACATTCTCTTAAACAGCATCACAATATTATGCTTTCATACTTGCTTTTATTTATCTTTTTTTTCCTTATTCATATTGTATTCAATTTTGTTTGATTCTGGAATCAGGTAATGCCTAAATCAAGTAAGTTATTATTGTTATTATAGTATACATAATATCTACTACAGTATATTATGCCTAATATAATTCTAGCCTATGAATAAAAATTGAGCCCAACATTTCTATTGCTAAATGAGACATCTGTTAAGCGAGTTTTGCCCCATTTTACCTTTCTTGCCACAATTGTTAAGCAAATCACTACAGTTGTTGTTAGTAACACGGTTGTTAAATGAATCTGGCTTCCTCATTGATTTTGCTTGTCAGAAGGTAAAAAAGATATGATCCTGGGACACTGCAACCGTCATAAATATAAAGCAGTTGCCAAGCGTCTGAACTTTGATCAGGTGACCATGGGATGCTTCAACAGACATAAATATGAAAAATGGTCATCGGTCACTATTTTCAGTGTTGTTGTAACTTCAAATGGCCACAAATTGAACTGCTGTTAGTTTAGGACTGCCTGCATTTATAGCTTAGGTTAATTTGTGGGGTCCTTGGTGCTCTCTGAACTTGGTTTCCTTATAGACATTTCATTATCAGTGCTCTGATGATATTACCTAGTTCGGTAATGAAACTTCTGCAGGAAAGCCACCAAGCTCAGAGATCACCAAGGACCCCAGCTAATGGTGCCAATCACCAAACCCAAATTATTGTCTCCCCAGTCTACACAAAGTAAGTCATATCAACCAGATTTGTGATATGATAAAAAGCTTTAAAAAGGAAAAAAAAATAAGATTAGCTTAATTAATTATTGTAAAGATGCTGTATGATACATGAGATACATGAGTGGCTTCTGGCGTCCTGATATAGCCAGCTGGTGCCATCGCTGGCTATTGGGGGCGAATCACTGGCCCCCACGGAGAGGGCTCGCAACTTAGGCATCCTCCTGGACGCACGGCTGTCTTTAGAAGAGCATATGACAGCCGTGGCCAGGGGGGCTTTTTATCAGGTTTGCCTGATACGCCACTTGCGTCCCTTTCTGGATCGGGACTCCCTACACACGGTCACTCAAGCACTCGTCACTTCCCGCCTGGACTACTGCAATGCTCTCTACATGGGGCTCCCCTTGGGGTGCACCCGGAGGCTGCAGTTGGTCCAGAACGCGGCCGCGCGGGGGATTATGGGAGCGATGGGGCGCTCCCATAATAACACCTCTCATATAACACCTCTCCTGCACGAGCTGCACTGGCTTCCTGTGGTCTTTCGGGTGCGCTTCAAGGTGTTGGTGACCACCTTTAAAGCGCTCCATGGCTTAGGGTCGGGGTATTTGCGAGACCGCCTACTGCCGCCAATAGCCTCCCACCGACCGGTTCGCTCACACAGAGAGGGCCTCCTCAGGGTGCCATCGGCCAGGCAGTGCCTGCTGGCGACCCCCAGGGGGAGAGCCTTCTCTGTGGCAGCACCTGCCCTCTGGAATGACCTGCCCCCTGAGATACGCACGATATCAGACTTCCGGACTTTTCGTCGGGCCCTGAAGACACACTTGTTCCATCTAGCTGGGCTGGCTTGATCCCAACCTCTCAGTTTTTTAATCGAAATTCAGTTTTAATTGGGTTGTTTTAAATTCGGGCCAAAATTATTTAATTGTTTTTTAAAATGTTTTTAAATTTTATATGCTATGTTTTATCCTGGCTGTACACCGCCCTGAGTCCCGCAGGAGAAGGGCGGTATAGAAATATAATAAAATAAATAAATAAAATAAATAAATAAATATATCCCATAGGTATATTTTTAAATTCGGAAGAAAAATCTTGATATAACTCTCTGAAGTTGAATAATATCTGTAATGTTTAGTGATTATGACTGGTTCCACAACTATAATGTTTGTAATAAAACACTGATAACTATATAAAACTTTAATTTCATGGATCCAATTTAGCAGATCTTGGGGTGCATGGACAAAATAAGAATTTACACTGATCTGTCAAACGATTGTTAAATCAAATTTAGATAATTTACAAATTTACATTACAAAGACTTGGCTTTAACCGACTTTCATTTTCAATAGACCCATCTTTCCAATTTTTCCTTAAAATGAAGACTTTATTTTAATTATTCAGGTAGCTTGTATCTTCACTGTAGTTTTTCCAGAGCAATGTACCAGTAAGATGTATCTTGGCATAATATAATTAAGCATCACCACAAAACATCTTGAATAATTGCATCAGGCAGCAGAATTAAAAACAAGCAACAAATATCCCTGCAATAATTAAGTCCTTATCATATATCAATAGCAAATTATATATACATAATTTGAAATGGCATGCCATTCTTTTTAAGTAGAATGGTGTAGTACATTACCTTAGATAAAGTGTAATCCTACCAATAGCAAACTTTATACATTTCAATCTATATTTCTCCTTATTATGGTTTATATGATAATAGCACATAATTAAGAAAAGAGTTCTACGTCTTATTCTGTGACTATAAAACATCTACATTGTTTTAAAAGAAATGAATAGTCTTATGTACTATATATACCACATAATGGAATAAAGTAACAAAACTACTGTGGTTTGTGAAATCTAAATAATAAAACAATTTTAAAATAACTATGATTAAGACTATTATGACAAAAACTTGCATGCCTCCATTCTCTCATTTCCAAGGTGTACAATGGAATTCTACAATATTTGTGTCAATTAATCAGTATTTACAAGGTCGTTGCAATTAAAATCTGGTTATAAGGACCATATCGTTTAATATTAATAAATAAATGAAACACTATAATTAGAACAATCTAAACAAGAGAAATGGAGAACATATCATAACATGAGTATGTTCTAATCTTCCAATTATGGTTCATATATTAGGAATATCTTGTCTACATTAGAATGGATGACTTGATTAATATTAGCATGCCGAAGAGATTGCTTATACCTATTGATATCATATGCCAATTTAAAATATATTCGCTAATAATCTCAGCATTATTAGCAAACAGGCCTATAATTCCTTCTAAGCATTAGGAAGCCAGCGCAATATTGCTTATTTTAACCAAAATGCTGAAATTGAAATTTGCAGTCATCATATGAGTATTTAAAGTATTGCTGTGGTGAATGTTTTTTCTTCAATATTATGGAAAATCATTGTTTTTTTAAAAAAAAATGTTTCAAAGCAGAATAAAAATATGGTGAATTTATAATGGTGAGTTGTAAATGTTATTGCATTTATCCAAGTTAAAAACTAGCCAAGATGTGTATTTCTGGTATTTCGCTGCAGAATTGTCTCTTTAACCTATCAGATTTCCTATCTTTCAATGACATCTGAAAAAAATGATGGTTTTCATTTGTTGTGTTTTGCCAGATTAAAAAGTAACATGCAAGGCCGATAGCCTCCCACCAACCAGTACGCTCCCACAGAGAGGGACTCCTCAGGGTGCCGTCAGCCAGGCAATGTCGGCTGGTGACCCCCAGGGGGAGGGCCTTCTTCGTGGCAGCACCTGCCTTCTGGAATGATTTGCCCCCGGAGATACGAAGGATACCAGATCTCTGGGCCTTTCACCGTGCCCTAAAAACTTTTCTTTTCCATCAAGCAGGGCTGGCGTGACCCCACCCCCTTTTAGCTCTTTTTAGCTTTTTAAGTGTAAATTGGGTTTTAATTGGATTGTTTTCAATTGTGGGCCAAAGCTGTATAATTCTTTTAATTGATTTTAAATTTTGTATTGGTATGTTTTTTATCCTTGGCTGTGCACTGCCCTGAGTCCAATAGGAGAAGGGAGGTATATAAATTGAATAAATAATAATAATAAAGGAGGCTACAAAAGATTTGAAAAAAACCTACAATTCTACCACCAAGTTCAAAAAACTTGCTTCAAAAAAATTCCAAAGTACACTAAAGTATATGTGGCAATAATTAGTAATGGTGTAGAAAAATGGATGTCTCTTTTATAGGAGAAATAATCCTCCAAATTCAGATTTTTATATGATATCAACTGAAACCACATTTACTTTAAATTAAAAAGAGGAAGACTGGTTTCAATAAACTGTAGAATTATTGGGTATTTTTGAAACTTGTTTCATTCAGGACAAACTGTATTAGCAGGCAATGAAGCTATAAAACAATTTCAGATATCCAAATCTGATGCAATTATTGTAAGCATACACTTAAAAGCAAATATTTTAGGAATTTCAATTGAATAATTCTGAAAAAAGACTGGACTCCTGTTTTTGCTGCACTTTTTAGAAGATCTTTTCAATGTGTTATTTAAAAAAATGGGGCTGAACAAAAGAGCTGCACTGTATTGATATTATCCAACATGAATATTTTGTATAAATCCAGTATAATTCTTAAGACTATATTCATCAGACTGAGATTGGCTGAATAATTAAACAGTCCATTCACTGACTTCTTCATACTAAGTAGCACACAGATTAAAAACTTAAGTTAAACAGCAGGATTTGAAGTAGAACACATTGTGCTATTTACAACCACTTTGCTTTATACATGTACTGAACAATTTAAGAAGTCTTATTTTGTCACTCAAATTATTTTTCCTTATTTTACCTTGTTGATAAAGCACACAGAGATCCGACTGCTACAAGGTATTTCGCTGGGCCCCATCCAACATACTCAAATGCCACAGGGAGAGGACTTTTCTCATCAAGTAAGTAGTATGGCATCATAAGAGTCAAAGCAGCTGAAACTCCAAAATATGCCAGAAAGCAGACAAGTAGAGATGCTACAATTCCAATAGGAATGGCCCTCTGAGGATTCCTGACTTCTTCCCCTAGGAGGAGAAAATAAATGCAACTACAGTGAACATGAAATATGGAAGATGTTGGGATACAGTGACAAAAGGCCAATAAGAAAGAAACATCTAGAATGTGTACCCAGGACAAGAAGAATTATCTATATCTATTGGAAAACGTATATCTGGTTGCAATGGCTAAAAATATTCTTGGTTAAATTTAGCACGGCAATGTGCTTATGTATTTGATTTAGAGCACATAATTCAAATATGTTTATTCAGAAGACCCACTATGGTCATTTCTACTCTCTAAACTCACTGGCTGACTTTGGGGTAGTCAATCTCTCTCAAGACAACCACAAGCAAAGGCTGTTGTGTAGATAAAATGGAGATCTATCTAACAATTTCTATTAAAACAGCACAATTTTAAAAGCTTACCAGTAGTTGCAATGCAATCAAATCCTATGAAGGCATAAAAGCAGGTTGCAGCACCAGCTAGTGTTCCGGTAAAGCCATATGGCATGAAGCCACCAGCTCCAAATATACTTGTCACATTCTCAGAGGATGATAGATTTCTAAATATACAATTAACAATTTATAACATTTTAGATATTTATCACTTACTGTAGTTATCAAACAATCCTAAAGCAATGTAGAATGTAATTATCTTTCCATAATTGTGGCACTATATAGATTGGTGGTATTAGCCCAGCAATATCATTAGTTTTCTGTCTTTTTCACAGATCTTACCACTTCATAAGGTAATATAGCTGACAAAGATTCACGATAGACTCACGATAGAAATGAAATGTATGAAGTAGAACACATTATACTATTTACAACTACTCTGCTTTATACATGTAATGAACAATTTAAGAAGTCTTATTTTGTCACTCAAATTATTTACTGACAGTTGCTTGTTTTTCCTTATTTTACCTTGTTGATAAAGCACCCAGAGATTTCTCCTAAATATCAATGCGCACCAAAATAATATTTTCTTCTATAATCCTGCAAGTTTTCACCATTCCTACCTAGATGGATGGCCACACATTACTCTCATAAAAGGGATGGCAGATTTTCCATTACAGCTGTGATTTTAAGACTTATTTTTAAAAAGTCACACTACAAAGCTTAGAACGTATTATAATACACAGACTTCTTCCCAGTTTTAGTGATAAGGTAACAAAAAGTTGCTGCTTGTATCTTCCCTGAGTAAAGACAGAAGATCTAAAGTGACTAATCGAACCTAGTCCCATTTTCTGCCTGTTCTGCAGTCCTGGGTATTTCCCGTATCCAGGTTAATATGGTGGTAACTTCAGTCAAAATTTTGCTATATGAAGAAAATGGGAATACAATACATTTCCCTACCTCTTATTTTTTGAGAGGGATCCCATCCATTAAACTAGAAGCAAAGCACCAAACCACAGTTTCATTTGGGTAAATTTCTGGATTAAATATCTAATAATAAATTAGAGATTATGTACATTTCTGCTTTAATTTTAAATTGGGACAAGAAAGTAACATGATTTTATTTAATTATGCCTACAAAACAACCCAGGTTCTGTTATTGTTAAAAATCTTCCTTGGCTCAAGGATGACCCCAGTAACTTCACAGGAATGTCAATGTAATCTCTTGGCAATTATGCGAAAATGATTTGCCACTGCCTTCTTCTGAGACTTTAAATTTTCCAACCTAGCCCTCACCCCTGGGATTTCCTCATGGTTTCCCACCCAAATCTCAACCTTCTTGGTATTTCAAGATCACCCACAGTCAGCTAGAAGCCACCGTTTATTATAGTGTGATAGGAACTATTATCTTTTATTTTATGATTCCCAATTTGTATGAAACAAATTAAAAAAAATCAACAAAAAAGGAATGTCACTTCTGGTTGATTAGAAAAGAAAGAGGAATTAAACCACTGCCTTCCAAAGAAAGTCTGGTCAAAAAAGAATTAATGTTATTGGATTAGATCAAAGCCCACTCCTTGACCCATAACTTCTAATTTATGTGCAATTCCTGTTCCCTGCATTATCCGTCACCAGACATAAAATATGAAAAATAGCATTTTGATAGCCTCCACCCTGTCTTCAGTGTGCCATCTGTATCAGGTGGGAGGCTACGTGAGCTAAATCTGGGATATGGACAGAGGTTCCTAATTCTTAGTTTAGTGTAAATGCTCTCAGAACAGAAAAGATGATAGAAGGAAAGGGAATATAGAACAAGAAAAGCCATATTACTTTATTTCTGCAGTGTAGTTTATCAGAAATTCTTCAGTTCTCTTCCAGTTATTAATGTTGCCTTTCACAAAGCCAGAAATCATAACAAAGAGCAGGACCAAGATGTTAACAGCGGTGAAGACTTTATTTACCCATGCAGATTCTTTTACTCCAAATGATAAAAGTCCTATAAAAGAAATGTTTTAGTCATAAGATCTCTTAATGTTTCTAATATAATTATCATACTTGACCATACATACAATAACATATCTGTCTATATGCACTGCACAGTGCAAGCCTCTACTGGGCCTATATGTGCATAGTGTCTGTATTCCTGTAATACCACCACTTAACCTCCGAGCCAGAAGAACTGGGAAACGTATGAAGGTAGGCCACTAATATCATCAGATGCAAATAATACATTATTCACATTGTAGTCAACAGTGAGTTTTGAGCTGCAGTGAATACAAATAGACTTTATTTAACAACTGTCCTGTTTAATGATCATTTGTAATTATGATGTTGATGAAAAAAATGACTTTATGACCAATCTTTCCATTATGAACTTTGTAGATCTTTAAAGCAAAGAAAAACTGAAGTAAGATCTTAAACACCATTGTCGTTTTACTTAGTGACTGTTTTGCTTAACAACTAAATTGCCAGTCCTAATTGTGGTTGCTAAATGAGGAGCCTGTATACAATTATTCCTCTTGTAACTATATGGAGAAACCCCAAACACAGTCATTGACAAATAAGTGCTACTAAGAGCAAAATTAACCACATAATTTTTAATTCAAAAGAATAATCCAGGTGTAATTATATCTTTGAAATAAGGACTGATTAGAGTTTTGACTGCAAATACCTAAATCAGACGATATTCTTGTACACCATACTATAACTTTGTGTAAATCCAGCATTACATGTTGTAAAACACATTTTTCATGGATTATTATAAAGATTATTGTCAAAGAAAAATGACCATTAAAATTACTGTACCTGCTAAAAGTAATATTAGACAGACTGCAAAAAAATCTGGATATTCTGCTAAACCAGAATAATTCATTCTGAAGTAAGTTCGGAAAAAATAACCAATTTGTTTTCCAAGAAGTTCATCGAAGGTTCCACTCCATGCTCTTGCAACACTTGAAGTACCTTTGACGTAAAAAACAAAAATGTGGTATATTTGGCAGATCACAATGGCAAATAGCACAAAAGTACTGTACAATTTACATAGCATCATCCAGTCTCTTAAAGTTGTTCATAATTCCATTCTGTAATTACGTTATCACACTAATTTCAAAAAATCTTTCCAGTCTTATGCCTGAACCATCATGCTAAAATGATATCAAATAAACAATAAGAATAAATTGTTCATTCCTATTTTAAAGATGCTCAAATTTTTATATGGCCAAGGTTGCCAAGGTCATGAAGAAAATAAATAAATTAAAACTCAAAATTCTGGAAACAATGTGGACACATCATGAATTCTAGAAGTACACTGCAATTCTGTCATTGTCAAATATTGAGACCAAATTACACTATCAAATTTCATTGGTGAATAGCACAGGGGCTATGAGGACTATATGCAGCCTGTAGGTTATTCACTCCAATATATATAGAAATAATATACTTCATTAAGAAAAGCTGCTTTCGAGTAGATAGGGGCATAAATATAGTCCTTGCTTGCATTTTTTAAAAAGCAATCTTACTTTATAATATATATTAAGATGAATATCAAAACAACCTTTTTAAAGTCAAAGCATAACTTTGACTTTGAAAGTGGAAACAGATGCTGCTGATAAAAAAAATCAGTTTAAACTTGAAACAGGCTGCTTATCTTTAGTATATACACACACAAACACAACTCACTCTAAGGGATATAAGTTTACAGCATTGTTTCACCTCTCTGATATTTCACATTGGGTTACATAAGTAGCTATTTCCTAACAGATCGCAATTTATTGACCAAATATTGGGGAAGTAGGGTTAATCCAAACAGAATAGGGTCTTCTTTATCAGTAGAATTATTTTATCAGAAAAATCACCAGATAACTAATGTTATCTGGTGATAACTAAGTATCAAATAGCTTCAATAACTGACTGAATTAAATAATTGTTCAATCTGTAATTAAAACTGATTGATGAATTAATGCTTGATTGGATACTGATCAAGATAAGGAAATATTTAATATATCAAGCAGTTTGCAAAGCTCCACAATTCTACTGATTTGTGTCATACTCTTTGTAGAAGCTTCCCAACTCCCTCTTCAGCATGGCATGTAATACATGAACGCTGTGCTTCAAATAATAATTAGAAAGAACAGTGGTATATTTTACAGTCTGCTACTTTTATACATTAAATCCTACATGCCCACAATTTGTTTATTCACATTGTGCCTGGAAAATCATATATGTCAAACTTACGTGCTATATTCAAACCACTGTACTAAGAGAGTCGACCTGTTGAATGTATTTGGTTTCCAGAAGTTCTACTGGAATTCAAGACCTATATTTGAGATTGAAGTATTCTCTACTTAGTTCATGTATCATTTCTATGTTATCATCCTAATATATAGTGAGTTAAAACCCCTGTCATATTGCTGGTTGCTGCGTTCTGTCCTATTTTCACCATTGTCAACAGACAGAGAAAGGTCAAATGCATTTCAGAGCATGTCTAGAAACTGTCTCTGCTTCTTCCTCTCTCTGGCTCTCTCATGAGAAAGAAATAGCAGAGGTTTACTCAAAATAGTCAACAGCAGCCAGGATCCAAAGCCAAAAGTCTGTGTTGACTTTCCGTATAAACCTGACAACTTTCAGACATACCTATAACGTAGGACAAAATGAGATTCCAGCCAGTGATAAAAGCCCAGATTTCACCAACAGTTACATATGTGTACAGATAGGCTGAGCCAGTCTTTGGGACACGAGCACCGAATTCTGCATAACAAAGTCCGGCCATAACAGAAGCTAGGGCAGCTATGAGAAAAGAAAGTACAATACTAGGTCCAGAATCTGCTTTTGCAACTTCTCCAGCAAGGACATAAACACCAGCACCAAGGGTGCTTCCCACTCCTAAAGCAATAAGATCCACAGTTGATAAGCAGCGGCATAGCTTGGAATCTTCAAGACTGTCCGCGTTGACGATTTTTCTCCTCAGCAGGCACCGAGCAAATGACAAGGCTGGGCCACCGGTCATGTTGGATGAAAAAGCCTAAAAATGAAAAAGAGATGACTGTAAAACGAAGAACCCAAAGTATCATCTTCAGATTCATTATAATACAACCATTTGTATGTAGTGAATCTTGCTCTAACAGACTTAATGGAGGAGAAGGGTGTCTGTAAAACCAAAATTTCTGTTAAATCCAAACAGGATTTTACATAAAGTACTTGACACATTTTGTACAAGTTTGAAATGGTGAATAAGGTTTTGCTGTTCTGTACAACTATGGACAGAACCATATAATATAGAGAGAGATTTTATCCATTGTGTCCAAAGTGTGCTAAACCAAGACTCATTCAATCAAAGGTTTAATATAATTAAGAAAAAATATAGTTTATACGCAATAACTAAGAAATAGCACAAAATTAAGGGATTATTCTTACTTTCACTTACTTTCAGACCACTGAAAATGTATTTAAATTATGATTATGCAATTTCACTAATTGTACTTCATAATAATAAGATGCTGAAGCTTAAGAAGACAACTGATGGATCAGCATTCATTCTAATCTCTCCTATTGTGGTTTTTCTAATTCACAACCTTTTCATAAGCAGCAATCCATTGTACTTATCCAAACAAGTCTCCCCTACAATGTATGCATCTATAGATGCTTCCCAAAAGCAGCAGTGTGGAAAATGGCTTTAAGATCTGCTTTATTTGCAATTGCATTTGGAGATATGTCATTGACAAAGAGAAATACATCAACAAAAACGTTCTCAATTAGTATGGAAAGAGGAAATATTTATAATCCATAATGCCAAGGTCTTTCTAAATGGGCCAGGCTAAAGCACCACACTATAACTAACATTACCAACATTTTGATTAGCATATTCAACAATGTTACAATAATCTGCTCTTTTTCATTATAGGGGTCTAAGCAAAATGTTCTCTATCAAGTCAACATATTCTTGCTTTCATGAGTCTTCGTGATCTTGCTCTTTTCATCGAAGTGATGAAGGCAGTGCTGCACGTTTTCTGATACACACATACACACACTCACACACCCCAGCCTCCTTTTCATCATATTGTGATTGAGAAATCACCTACAATTTCTCTATGATTATAAAACAGGTGATTCCTTTACTTGAATACGTTTAAGAATACATTTATCTCACTTAATTGGTTATGTGAGATAAAGTCATGTCACAATCATAACCTGAAAAAATTATGATTCTACTGCAGAATGTATAGCTTATGTATTCCTTTCTCTGTTGTAGCTTATTAAAGCTTAATATTGCAACTTTACCATCTAAGTATGACTAAAATAAATGTTATCACACTTAGCTATTATATAATTACACAGTTATCACAACAAGCTAAAATTAGAAGGGAACTTTGAGTCACTATTGACTCCTGGCAATTAGTCCATAAAGTTTTCTGGACAACATTTTCCACGGTAGTTTGCCACTACTTTGGCAAACTTTTCCTGAGGATGAGAGAGACTGAGTGGCCCAAAGTGGGCTTCCATGCCTAAATCTGGATCAGAACTCAGATTTCCATCTTTCTAGTCCAGGGCCCTTAAAATGCTTGGTACTGTTTCTTCTTTCTCCCTAGCATGGAACTCCCAGACATGTAAAATAAATAATGCTGTTGCTTTCCATTTCCAAACGTTAGATACCTGCTCTCAAAAATAGCATTTGTAGCAAGGATTTTCTAGCATCCAAAATAATACTTTAAACTATAATCTGTAGCATCAATTTCTCAATCTCTCTTACTGGGACAGATTCTCGCCCTTCCATTATCTATCCCAAAGGATTCCACAGTCCTGCAGTAAGGAAGGAAACATGAATTGTAAAATATAATTGTACAAACGCTCTCATAATTCTACATATAACTCTTTGCAAGAGAAGGAAGTTATGACGATGTGACTGTTGTATGGCTCTATTAATTAAGGGTGTTACTATAAAATGTGTATGATTAGTAAACAACTCTCTCCTTCCCATAATGATAATCCATCAATCTGTTATCTTTAAAAAAAAAAGTTAGGTTCTAAGCATTCTCCTTTCCCATACCTTTCAACCTCACTAATCCCAATTTTAAGTTGTAGGAGAAAAGCTAGTCTGAATAATTTACTCACAAAGCTCATTTATGAAGCTATTGACTTTTAAACATATTTACAAAATTGTTTGTACATAATAACACAGTTATTGACCTTACTAAGTGCTACTATAAAATATCTATTGTGTAATTGTAAAAAGAAATTCTCTCCAATTAATTTCACAGAGGTTATTAAAACTTATTTCCAAGTAAATGTTCTTGGAAATACAGTCTCCATCACGTCAGTCTCCCAGTAACATGAACTTAAAATGTTCCTTTACAAAATATTGAAAGTAACATTAAGAAAACTTCACAGAACTTTAAAATCATTCCAACAGTATCTTTGAACTGCAGCAGATTTAGAGAAAATTTAAACTTCCAGGATTAAAACATTAATTTTTGCTTCTTTTGAATGTTTACATTACCAAAATACTGGAATATTAACATGCTATATGTTACATTTCTAATCTACTTTAATATGAAAACATCGTTTTAAAGAAAAAACAGATTTGTTAACAGGGGCCAGCATTCCACATTCAGTGGGTGAGTGGAAGAGAACCTCCAGCAAAGTATTTTGTTTCAATATAGATTTGTTTTGAGACCAGCCTTTACTTACCTAACAATAATATTCAAGTTCTGTATTTCTCAGGCACAGAGAGTAAGGAAGATGCGGGCTGCAGGAAGATTTTACTTAGACAACTGCCTTTTTTTAAAATTGAAAGGTTAGGCTGTCTGAAGCTGCTTGCTTTCAGGGGGTGGAGGAAAATCAACTACAGGTGATTGGATAATACAGAGTTTACCCACCTTTTTGGCAAACAAATAAAAAAAGTTATGGTATTCATTTATACCATTTAAGAAACCACACCAGCTTTTTTTCCTGTTTAAAAAGCTAGCTGGACATCTGTTAAATATATGTCTACAAATAACAGACTAATAATTTTGTAGGTCTAATATTGATTAACATAATAATTGATAGAACAGGTAAATTTATAAACACTACAAAAGTCAGTCCAGCCTAGGATTATGACCAAAAGAATGGTTTATATATATTCTCAATTGTACCAAACCACAAAGATAAATTTCTCATGGGGAGCAATGCAATGCTAAGACACTATCCCCTATGAACCACCATACTAGTTGTAAGAAAAATGTCAACAACATTAGGATTCAAAAACTATCAAACAAATAATGAGGTTTGACAATTATCTTCCTTGGCTGATGACCTTAAACTGTTAGGCAAAACCTTGTCACTTAAACAGACATGTAAATAGATGTTGGCTTTTTCTGTACTAGTCTGCTTTCATAAACTACATTTCTAAATTAATTACATTTCTAAATTAATTACATTTCTAAATTAATTACATTTTTAAATTAATTACATTTTTATTTGGGAGCTATATCTGCTTACTCTTACCCTTGATATCCCTTTAAAATTTGAGGAGCTGTTCTTTTTACTATGGATTTGGATAACTGGCATTTTTACAGTACAGGTATGGATGTAATAAATATATTCTATCTATTGCTAATTTAGAGATGGAGATCTTCTGGCCAACTGGCCGGATGAGATCTTCCCATCCAGTTTGCTAAAGCTATTTCACTTCTAAATGAATAGCAAAATGGTTATTTGCAGAAAAAGGAAGCTAATCCGTTACTCTATTGCAGTGGGTCTCAACCTTCCTAATGCCGCGACCCTTTAATACAGTTCCTCATGTTGTGGTGACCCCCAACCATAAAATTATTCCTAAAACCATTGAAAATATGTGATTTCCGATGGTCTTAGGCGACCCCTGTGAAAGGGTTGTTCGACCCCCAAAGGGGTCCCGACCCACAGGTTGAGAACCACTGCTCTATTGCTATATGGGGTCACCAAGAAAGAGGCAAAGGATTTTGCTATAAGCAGCAAATCTGTTAATAGAGGCAACTGAGATTGTTAGATTGTCACTGCTCATTGTTATCCACGGAGACAATGCTGTGGAGTGATGATGACTCTCCACTGAAAAATATTTTGGAAGAATTATTTCTGAAATATTGATGCCATGCTAAATGTATAAGTGGTAGGTAGGTATTCCCTTATATGTGGTCAAGAAAAGAAGGTACTTTTTTTTCTAGTCATTAATCAGTTTTTAGCGTCCTAAAAGTTGCTACACTATGTGTCTGCCATCAGATCCTGCTCTTAGTTCTAATGAGGTATGCCTTTATCAGGGAAAAGACTTAAAGAAAAGCAGTAAGATTCAAGTTAGTGGGGAAAGACAATCTTCCATGCTAAAGAAAGCCATAACCCTGATTATTTTAATGAAACAGAGTAAGAAAGAGTTGAGCAGACTTTTCCGGCACTACACATCAAGAAAGATATGCATCTCTCAATCAGGAATGGTTGTCCAAGTGTTCCATTTATATTTCTGCAAATGTAATGTTCTGACTAGGGGGCACTCAAACAGCAAAGCACAGGACAGTTAGTCAAATCAACCAATCAAAATGCAGGATATGCATCTCCAAACAACACACAGTTTGGATGTTGAAAAGTCTGCACCATCTGCAACCTATACTTACCCAATAATCCTTTTGCAGTGTAGGTATGCCTACGTGCAATTATATGCAATACAAAATCAGCCTTAAACTCTCACATATAATACAGATATTATAGCTAATTATAGTTGTAGTTTCACGACATATGAACAATGCTACCTTGGAAGTCAAGCTCAATTTCTGAAGACATCTTTAATTTTCTTGGCAGCAATGCTGAAGTGCTGCCAAGAAATGCTGAAGTGGTTTTCCATCACTGCTTTGTCCATTGCTTTGTGCATTTTCCCCCAACTTCCTAAACGGTCTTCCATTCAATGCCAACCAGGTTAACATGGCTTAGCAATTTCCAGAACAAACAAAATCAGCTAGGTCCTTTCTCCAATTGTCAGTAAGGCTATGGTTTTAACACTGGTAGAAATCCTTAAGACAT